AGTCAGAGGTGGGATTGGCCGGTTCTCCGAACGACTCAAAATTTCCGCTACCTGTTCTCCAGAACCGGTCAGAACCAGCTGAAGACCATCTCTGGTCCCCAATCTCTGGGCCACACCCCACTAGCGGGCCTTGAGTGGTTTGCAACCAGGCAGTTGAGCGCGGCAACACACATCCCCGCTTATGCGAGCAGCGGGCAAGCGAGCGCCTGCACACATGCTCCATTTGCATGAGTGGTAAGTGCACATGTGTAACCGTTTGTGTAAGTCCCGCACGTCTACACCACGCACACAGAAGCATCGCCTCTCCTCGCCTCTTGCCAGTCCGCCAAGCCAGAAAGGTTAGGGAACTCTGGTCTAACAGAATAGGCTGCCGTTTGCCCCTCCCTGTCCACTCTGTTGAAATCTTGAGAACTAGAGCCTTTGCTCTAGCAGCGGTTTGTAAAGCAGCGGTTGTCAACCGGTGAGCTACGGCCCACTGGTGGGCCGCGAGAAAATTTTGGTGGGCCGCAGAGAAATCTCACCCCCTGAGCATCCCCCCCAAAGCAATTAATCCAGGCTGCGCAGGAACACAAGGCTGCGCCGCCCACATGGCCCGCAGGAATGCTCCCCGCCCACTTACTCCTTACTCGGCAACCTTGCCTGCTAAATTGCTATTTTTCCTTTTTTTCCGACCATCAACTGTTCTGTTGTGCTGGGAGATTTAGATTAGCTAGGAAGCAGGAAATGGTTGGATTTCTTCCTTTCTAGCTAGTCTTTAGGTCTTCGGCTCTGCTTTTAAGCACAGCCGAACCTCCCTTAGGACTGAAGGTTCTATTATTCAATGCAGACTCCCGGTAAGCAAATTTGAGAGACTGAGCTAGCCGATGGCAGATAGATAGATCACTGAATGACTCTGTGAGCAACTCAATCTGCCTGCCTCCTTTGCCTGATTTTGGGTAAAAGTTGTTCTTTTTTTATAAAAAAATTCAATATTTACATACATGGTGTGTTGTGAGTTAATTTTGTGAGTTTGCTTGCAAGCAAATTTTATGTGACAGACTGAGCTAGCCGATGGCAGATAGAT